TTTGATGCATTATGATGCCCATCTTGGCGCTCTGCCTCTAACTTAGCCATGAGACATAGAGAGAACCCTTTTCCCTCTCTGGGCCTCAGATTCCTTAACCATAAAATGATGGTGTTGGGCCGGGCTCAGTGGCTCAGCCTGTAATCCCACGCCTTTGGGAGGCTGAGGTGAGTGGATTGACTGAGCCCGTGGGTTCGAGACCAGCCTGGGAAACTTGGCGAGACCTCATCTCTACAATAAATCAAAAAATTAGCCGGGTGTGGTAGTATGCACCTGTAGTTCCAGCTACTTGGAAGGCTGAGGCGGAAGGATCACCGGAGCCCAGCAGGTCGAGGCTGTGGTGGCCGGGAGCGGCCACTGTACTCAAGTCTGGGCAACAGAGTGAGACTCCAACTCAAAAAAAAAAAAAAAAAATGATGGTGTTGGACTGGATCAGTAGTTCCCAAACTTCCCACCTTCAAGGCTTTTTTTTGTCTTTTTCTCTATACGAGCCTCATATTAGGTAATTTTTGTCTCCCATGCAACCTGCATCAAGTTATTTCTTCCTTCTGATCGATGACAGCCTCGTATTATAACCATTATAGCTTGTGGTCAGGAGTAAGCCGATGTAACCAGCACATTATTGGTGTAAGTTCACCCAAAAGCACAGGCTAAACCAGTTTGGTCACCCTTCACATACTATGTGCTATTTCTCTGAGTCCTTCTGGAACATTGATGAGAACTCAGGGGATTCCTACTCCCCTTAGGGACCCTTCAGCCAGGGATGCCAGATGGGAACTCCCAGAACTGGATACTGTCCTTTAAGTCCCATCCAGCTGGGCCATGCTGAGAGCTGGACATGCTGTGCCATTTGTATGCCTCTGGAGAGGTTGGAACTTTGAGCTATATGCCCACCCAGCTTTCCTCAGAGTCCTGGTAGTCCCCTCCTTCCAAACAAGAGACCCCTGTATTCTTCTCTCCAGGAATGGGAGAGGAGGGAGGAGACACCTAAGGTTCAGTCATCAGCTGGGCACCCACCATAGCTGAAGCGGTGGGAAGGGTGGATGTGCATGCTTGGACAAAGGCCATGGCAGTGAGCAGCATGCAACCCAGACTCCGCTGGGACAATAGCATTTTATATTGTGTGTCTCATCTTTTCCGTGCTGTTCCTCAGTCCTTCTCTTACACAGATAGGATATTCTGCATTTGTTACCTCAGGAAACAAATGATACAACAGAATGCAGAGTCCATTTTTAGCTTCTGAATTCCAAAAGCTTAGCTTTCAGGGAGGAATGGAAAGAATTTCTGAGCAGATACAAATTTAGAAAACTGGGTAACAGGGGGATCTGGGAGATTGAGACTGGGGGTGGTGCTGAGAAGAAACTTTTCAGCCTGGTAACTGGGGGTATCAATTAGGTTTAAGGCAGTGGTCCCCAACCTTTTTGGCATCAGGGACTGGTTTTGAGAAGAGTTTTTCGATGGATGGAGGGGAGAGGGGATGGTTTCAGGATGATTCAAGTGCATTACATTTATTGTGCATTTTATTTTTCTATTATTATTACATCAGTGCCTCAGTTCTACCTCAGATCATCAGGCATTAGATTCTCACAAGGAGCCTGCCACCCAGATTCCTCACATGCACAGTTCACAATAGGGTTTGTGCTCCTATGAGAATTGAATGCTGCTGCTGATCTGACAGAAGGCAGAGCTTGGGCAGTAATGCTAGCAATGGGGAGCAGTTGTAAATACAGATGAATCCTCCCTTGTCAGCCGCTCACCTCCTGCTATGGCAGCCCGGTTCCTAACAGGCTATGGACTGGTACCAGTCCATGGCCCAGGAGTTGGGGACCCCTGGTCTAAGGGACTGAGACGCAGAGAAAAGCTCTGCTCCTTTTCCCAGGTGGGGCACCAGGGAGGTAACAAACCCTCTGGAGAAATGTCTGTGGGCTGCATTTGGTCAAACAGCCTAACTCACCTAAGACCCAATAATTTCCTGAGCCTAATATAGCCTAGGGAAAGCACAAGAGAGGGCTATGGGTTACAGCTGGAGGAGTCTTTTGGTCAGGGAGGAGCAACTCAGCAGCAAGCCTCATGGGCTGATGACAAAAGACCACAACAAGACGACAACATGTCAGTAGACGCTCGTGTGAATGAATGACCACCAAGTCAGACTACCCTTACCATGCTTGGCACCATGAAGGAAGCACCCTAGAATTCAAACATAACTACAAGGAAAATGGGTATCTTTGAATTGACTGCTATTAAGTTTGTTACTTTGGCTGAGTGGGACAAAATAGGAATTTAGGCAAGTTACAGAAAATTTCACACCAGAAAGTGGAAGCAGCTACACGTTTGCCCACAGGTGTTATTTGCCCTGCTCCCTCCCATTTCTCATCACTCACCTGCTTCTCTCCCCTCCATCAATTTCAAAATGGTACTATGATGGCCCCAACCCCCCAAGCTTTCCTACCTCAGGAACCTTGCCCTGGCTCTTTATATGACAGGCTCCTTCTTAGTTTAAATTTCACTTCCTCAGATCACTTTTCAAAATATAACTACCTCTATTATTCTCTCTTGAAGGAGCTTGTTTATTTCCTTCACAGCCATCTGTGCTTTTACTTTTTTTGGTGTATTATCTGTCTCCTCTGCTAGAATGTCAGCTCCCTAGGGGCAAGACCCTTTTTCATCTTGATGTTCCCTTGGTTGCTATCACTGTGGTTCGTACACAGTTGGTGCTCAAGAATGACCTGTAGAATGGCTGGCCAGTGGTAACTGGGGATTTCCTGGCTTCCCACAGACTGATGGGTATAGAACTCCTTCAACCCCTTACTTAGCCCCTGACAGCCTTTTCCAGAAAGTTGGGACCAGATTACAAAAGACTCGTGTCCTTGGGGCTTGAAGACTCCACTGTGCTTTAACCCAGGGGCTTGGCAGGGCCTTGTCTAGGAACGACAGAGGACCCATAGGGGCCTGGGACACAATGCTTAAGGAACATGTCCTGAGTTTCTCAGCGATGCACGCTAGCCCTACCACTTCCCCTGCTGGCTCTGCTGAGGACATAGATGCCTCTGGCACCATCAAAGCCTTAGAGCCAGAACTTTCTTCCATCCCTAGGCCAAAACCCCAGCTAAGCCCTCTTCATCTTTGGACACGTGTGCAGACATGTGGGAAAGGTCTGCAAGGGAGGCTGCTGGGAGGGCTCCTCACCAGTTCCTCATCTGTCTTCCCACTTGCTAAGAGCATGGGGACATTTCTGGTATGGACCTTCCCTCTGGGCCTGCCCTCTGGGTTCTTTTACCAGCAGTCACCTTGTGGTGTCAGTCTCCTTAACTCCAGTTGTCAAAGGAGCCCAGAAATGCAGAGAAGTGGTTTTCTCCCTGCTAGGACCCTCTGTTTGCTCCTGAAAGCGAAGGACGAAGTCTAAGGAGATTCTAGATCTAGAGGCAATGAAATAAATACAGTATATACAGAAGAATCATGGTGGGTGACCACTAATACAGATTCCTGGGTCTCAGGTTCTGGTTCAACTCTGGGGTGAGAAGGAGCCAGGAAATTGCATTCCTTACACATTCCAGGTGGTTCTGATGTGGTGGTCTGTGGAAAACACTTGGACAAAGATTGAGCTAGAACGTGAATGCAGTACCCTTAGGCTGCTAGTGCCCAAATGAACCCTGCTCTCTCAAAGCTCCCTCAAGAAAGAAGGGTCTTTAGATTGGGGCCCTGACTTATTCAAAACTCTGCCATAACTGTTATCGAGCTAGACTTCTTTTCTTTTTTGACTCAAGTCTCATTCTGTCGCCCAGGCTGGAGTGCAGTGGCATGCTCATTCATGGCCACCGCAGCCTCAACCTGCTGGGCTCAGGTGATCCTTCTGCCTCAGCCTTTCAAGTAGCTGGAACCACAGGTGAGTGCCACCTACCTAGCTAGTTTATGTATTGTAGAGACGAAGTCTAGCCAAGTTTCCCAGGCTGGCCACAAATCCCTGGACCCAGGTAATCCTCTTGCCGCCTCCTCCCAAAGTGCTGGGATTATAGGTATAAACTACCGCGCCTGGCTCAAGCTAAACTTCATCTTGTTTTCTGTGACTACCTCCCCCACTAGATTACAAGTTCCCCTTCAGGAAGGTTCAAATTGTTTTCAACAATGTGTGCTCAGCAGAAGGCCTTGGCACATGGCATGTACTCTGTGGATATCTGATGAACACAAACTCTCTGGTTCCACAGGACAGAGCTGCTTTCACTACCTGTGGCAGGTTTGGAATGGCCACAAGGCAGCTACCACAAAGACTTGGGTTTTAACCCTGAGAACCCAATGACTCTCAGAACTGGAGACTGATTTCTGCTGTTGGCTGAGCTTCCAAACTACAACCTCTCTGCTTCAGGAAGCAGCAATGAGACTAACAGCTTCCTCAACAGAGAATCTGAATAGAAAGGCCACTTTCCACCTGAACAATAGTACTCTCCCACTACAATTCTCAAACTTTGTGACATATTAGAATCACTTGGGAAGCTTAAAAAATCCTAATGCGCCGGGCTCGGTGGCTCAGCCTGTAATCCCGCGCCTTTGGGAGGCTGAGGTGAGTGGATTGACTGAGCCCGTGGGTTCGAGACCCATCTGGGTAGTGAGACCTCATCTCTACAATAAATAAAAAAATCAGCCGGGCGTGGTGGCGCACGCCTGTAGTTCCGGCTACTTGGAAGGCTGAGGTGGAAGGATCGCCGGAGCCCAGCAGGTTGAGGCTGCGGTGGCCGGGAGTGGCCACTGCACTCCAGTCTGGGTGACAGAGTGAGACTCCAACCCCCAAAAAACCCAAACCAAAAAACCAAAACAAACAAAAACAAAACAAAACAAAACAAATCCTAGTGCTCAGGCCACATCCCATACCAATGAAATCTGAATCTCTAAGGGTGGGACAGGTGATTCCAATGTGTAACCAAGTTTATGACCCAGCGCCCTGGCCACACAGGACCATCAGAGAGCACAGCATACAGTAGGTAAAGCATGAGGCATGGACTCATTTGTACCCAAGTTTGGCTTTATTAGAAAATGAACACAATTGCCAGGGAAAAGGGTATACTTAGGGGCAACTCAGGCTGAGCACATGTAATAATTCTCACTCGAAGAGAATTGAAAACTATTTGACAGATTCCCTAAGTCAGTAAATCAGAAATTATAATGCAAATGCTCCAAAAGGGGCACTGTCACCTACCCAAGGCCACAGACAGATAGGATTCTGGGTCCCAGGGTGACTCTAGGAACCCTGAGAAAGGCAGCTATAATAGGTGGTATCTGTCGGACACCAGTTTCTGGACTGGCCCTGCCCTTTCTCAGGTTCTGGGCAGGGAGGGATGGCAGGGAGCTGGCTCACACATTGAAGGAAACTGAGTTGAGGCCAGAGCTTGCTGAGGGCACAGCCTCACTTTTGGTTTTTGGAGGGAAATTCCCGCCGGCCTTGGCCCTCACCCTTGCCCCCAAAGTTGCGCACCCGATGGATGAGCTGCAGCTGCTGCTCGATGGTCGCGGTGATGTTCACATCATCTGGGATGTGAACATAACGGACATTACGACCTGTAACAAACAGGTCGTCCAGCTTGACCTGATGCCCCCAACGGTCTGTGTAGGTGACTTCAGCCAGACGAATGTTCATGAAAGCATCAACGTTGTCTATACGTCCATGAGCCACGCTCTCATTCCGTAGGTCCACGGTGGTTATGTGGCCCTGGAGGCCTTGCAGTAGGACGATCAGGCTGTTCTCAGAGATGGTCCGCTCCTTGACTGAGTGGCTCACTGCCATTCTTCCACACTGGCTGCCTGCTCGCTGTGGGCAGGAGCACACAGATGGCAGCTGTAGCAGGTTAGGGGGTGCAGTTACCAACTCACCTCCACTGGGTTCTCAAACAAAATTCCCAGCACAGACCTCCCTAAGGTTGACTACATCCCCAGTTTTTGTGTCTGTGGACACAGGTTTCATGCACATGTCTTGTAGAATCTTTAAATTACTTTGTAATCCAAGCATTACTTATGTTCATTTTGTAAATGAAAAAAATATAGCCAGGATGGCCAGGTGTGGTGGCACACACCTGTAGTCCCAGCTACTTGGGTGGCTGAAGCAGAAAGATCACTTGAGCCCAGGAGCTCTGCTGACCAGCCTGGGTAACATATGGAGACCCTGTCTCTAATTTTTAAAAAAACAAACCTACAAGAAAATGGTAAGCATTTGCATTGGATCAGGGACAAGGATGCCTACTCTCATGGTTCCAATCAACAGTAAAATGTAGACAGTGGTCGGTGCAATGTTCAATAAATGACTACAGAAAGGGAAAGAATTTAGAGACAAATTGTAAAGAGAGAAAACTGTCCTTACTTGTCAATTATAGGACTATCTACATTGAGAATTAAAGGAATCTGTAAGCTGGGCTCGGTGGCTCAGTTTGTAATCCCGCGCCTTTGGGAGGCCGTGGTGAGTGGATTGCCTGAGCTCGCGGGTTTGAGACCCGCCTGGGCAACTTGGCGAGACCTCATCTCTACAATAAACAAAAATTAGCTGGGTGTGGTAGTATGTGCCTGTAGTTCCAGCTACTTGGAAGGCTGAGACGGAAGGATCGCTGGGGCCCAGCAGGTCGAGGCTGTGGTGGCCGGGAGCGGCCACTGAACTCCAGTCTGGGCGACAGGGTGAGACTCCAACTCAAAAAAAATAATAATAATAAAGGAATCTGTAGACAAAGTATTAGGACTAATATACAAAAATCAGTATTATTCCTATAATAATTAGTCAAAATCAATCAATTAAAAAAATATGACTAGGTGAAGTTAAGTAACTTGCCCAAGGTCACAGCAGATAAGTGGAGTTGCTGGGATTCAAATCCATAACTGTCTGACTCCAAACCTCACACGAGGGGTCTGAACCTTTACTGAACATTAGAATCACCTGGCAAATTTTTTTATTCTTTATTTTATTATTATTATTTTTAGTTGGAGTCTCACTCTGTCGCCCAGACTGGAGTGCAGTGGCATACTTCTGGCCACCGCAGTCTCGACCTGCTGGGCTCCGGTGATCCTTCCGCCTCAGCCTTCCAAGTAACTGGAACTACAGGCACGTGCTACCACACCCGGCTAATTTTTTGATTTATTGTAGCGATGAAGTCTCGCCAAGTTGCCCAGGCGAGTCTCGAACCTGCGGGCTCAGGCAATCCACTCACCTCGGTCTCCCAAAGTGTGGGATTACAGGCTGAGCCACCGAGCCCGGCCTGCCTGGCAAATTTTTACTTGGCCTCCACAGTCCAGAGATTCTGACTTATTAGTTAGGGCTGTGGGGCCCAGGTACTCTGTTTTTTAAAAGCTCCCAAGGTGACTCTAATGTGCTGAGGACTACTTGTTAGGAAGTCTCAGGTCTCTCCCTATATCCATTCTCAGAGATGGTCTGCTCTTTCACTGAGTGGCTCACTACCACTCTTCTCAGGCTAGAAATAGACTACATTTTTACATGACTCCTAGGTGAATTAGACATACATTAAAGTTTGAGAATAACTGGTTGACACCAGTAGGTCTCAAAAACTAAGGTGCATCCAGATCACCTTGAGGGCTTGTCAAATCAGATTGCTGGGTCCCACGCCCAGTTTCTGACTCAGGAGGTCTGAGGTAGGGTCCAGACGAGATGTATTTCTAACAAGTTCCCAGGTGATGCTGATACTGTTGGTTGAGGGCCCCTACTCTGAGAACTACTGGTCTATGCCATGCAGTTGCTATGTAAGTAGAAATGGGCCAGGCTTGGTGGCTCAGCCTGTGATCCCAGCACATTGGGAGCCCACGGGTTCGAGACCAACCTGGGCAACTTGGCAAACCCTCATCTCTACAATAAAATAAAAAATTGGCTGGGCGTGGTAGCAAGTGCCTGTAGTTCTGGCTACTTGGAAGGCTGAGGCAGAAGGATAACTGGAGCCCAGGAGGTCGACGCTGGGGTGGCCTTGAGTGTGCCACTGCACTCTAGCCTGGGTGACAGAGTGAGACTCCAACTCAAAAAAATAAAAATAAGTAGAGATGCAGGTAATTAATGGAAACAAACCCCAAACCTGTAGTATACAAAATACATAGGTTCTGAAGGTAGAGAAACCTAGGTTGGATCACCACTTCACCCCCAAATGTAAACCTAGAACAGTTACTTAATAACTCCGAACCGCCGGACTCGGTGGCTCAGCCTGTAATCCCGCGCCTTTGGGAGGCTGAGGTGAATGGA